CCAATTGGGCTCAGGCAAATACAGCCAGGAGAGTAGGAGCCGTACCCGGGGCTGCTGGATGGAGACCAGTTATTCTGCCTGAGGGATAAAGCAAAACCTCTCAGAGGAAGTCTTGAAATAAAGATTCCATGACAGTCATAGCACGTCATTGTCATTATCACAATCATAAGCTAACAGTAATAACAACAGCTAAAGTGATGCGGTGCTTATACTGATCAGGTACCGTGGAGGCCCTTTGCATGCATTGTCTCCCGTCATTGGACAGAGTACTGTGTACAGTACTGCGTTCCACTTACTTGTGCTGGCACTCTCCAGTTGGGGATGCTTCTAACAACACTGCTGCACAAATGGTGAGGTACCATACTCGCCAGAACATCGATTCTCCTATTTTTGCTCCTTTAATACTAACTGGAGACCTAAGGAGATTCTCATCCCCTACCACCTCTCCAGAGTCACTTACTGCCCATGTGCAGACTGCACAGAGAGGGCCTGAACTGTGAGGGTCACGAAGAAGGTTGTGACAACAGGCTGACTTCCTATGTGCCAAGCCCTAAGCACGCAAAGTCTAATGTAAAAGCATTGTTGAATTCTCCATGGGAAAAGACATGCCCCTGCTGTCAAGGTAGTGGCCAGCAATAATCACAGTGGCAACAAAACAACAAGGATAAGAATGCCTAACATTTACTAACCTATTATATTGTAGACTAAATTACTTGCACATGCCAACTGATTTAAACCTTCTATGTGTAGATGCTATTTCCATCCCCATTTTCCAGACTGAGAAACTGAGGTCTAGAAGTATATTTCAGTTGGGAAATTGAGTACGAAGTTGGGTGTAAGGAAGGAGGGCTCAATTGCAGTTAGTTTTGTCAAGTCAGCCATGAGAAGCTCCAGCTCAGAGCATGACAAATGAGTAGTTCCCTAGTATCTACAGAATCAAAAATAAGTTCTTCAACAAGATACTCCCCAGTGTGCCACTTGTCCCCAAGGTGACACACGCCCTGCTTAGTTGTGCTCCATCCACTCCCAGCAGATCACGGCTCTTTATGTACCCAGGCTATGTCTTACCTCTGTCTTTGAGCTGTGATTCCCTTGGCCTCCAGTGCACTATGCCCTTCCTCTTCATTACCTGTTTGTCCCAATTTTACCTGGTGCAGACGTTTTAAGGGCCCCTCCGTTGTTCCTCTAGTGCTTGACCTCTTCCTGCCTGGAAGACTGTGAGCTCTCTGAGGGCTGCAGCTAGTTCACTTGACAACCCCAGCATATAAAAGCCCCTGATAGTGCTTATTGATTTGTTACAAATAGTTACAAAGGGATCCTTGCAGAGCTTCTGAGACCACAGTGTGTGATAGATTCATTAGTTCTGATTACTGGTGGAGTTATGATTCGTTGCTTATTGTCTTCTTTTGTTTTTCCCTTACTGCTCAGCACTGCTAGACATGAGGGTCATGGCTCTTACAGGAATTAAAATTGATGACTGAGCGTGACACCTCCATTTGCTAAGGCAACACAGTTTTGTGCATCATGCTTTACTTTTGTAACCAGCACCCACTTGGCACTGGCGTAACCCTGTGATCTTCCCACCAGGAGGCCATTTGCTCCCTTTATGTCTTGATGCATCGCATATTGTTGCAAGCCTTAGCTGACTAAGACTTTTTGCTTCGTGAATATGTCACAAATATGCCATGAAGGGGAAGGCACCAGATGAGTGTTTGCAAAAATAGAAAAATTCTGGTTGTGAAGAGTCGGGGGGTGGGCTGAGCTCTCCACATGTTTCCAGGTCTGAGGTTTGGCTCTGCAGTCTGCTTGGGGTCTCATAGCTGACATCCACTTCATCCGTTATTCTGGAAGAACTTGTCAACTTTACTGCTGATCGGAGGTCTGGAAACTGTTATCTACTAGTTTTCACAGAGTCAAGCCAAAAATTGAAGAAAAAACTTGCTGAATAACTTTGACCAAAATAACACATGTGTTTGTGTGCTATCCTATGATTAACTCGTGTTTTAAGCCACATTATTGAGGTATGACTGAGATGTTAAGGCGCTGTACACAGTTAACGTATACTCCTTCGTGAGTTTGGAGCTAAGTATAGATTTGTGACATTATCACCATAATCCTGCCATAAACCTCTTACCACCTCCAAAAGTTTCCTCCCACTCTTTTGATTTATTGTTATTTTAACTCAATTTTTCTCTACATTTGAGCTATAAGACTTTCTCAAGTAGTGTATGTTTGTTAGTGAAACGGGTCATTCACAGTTGAAAGTCTTAGAAACTTCCTGAACCTTGATCAAAAGTCATTTTCTAGTGCTCTACTTTAAGCAAGAGGTAATGAAGAAGTCAGTGTTCTCTGATTTGTAGCAAGGATCAGTGAGGGTGGTGGGGATTGTTTGAGATAAGAATAGGAATAATAAAGATTTAGGGTATCAAAGCAGCAAGTGTACCGAAGGAGATTGTTATAAAATTCAATTTTGCTTTCTGGACACCTGAAAATCAACATATAATGCATAATACATTTTAGGAGAGTAAATGATCTGCAGATGAAAATAATAGTAAAATTTAGAGACAGAATAAGAAGAAATACTTTCAAAACTGATAGATCCTTCAATTCCCAAAGCTTAACTTCACTTGGGAAAATAATTTCAATGGTATGTCCATACTGAAAAAAACCTATAAAAGTTAGAGTTCTCAATATTTAATGGAGAACGTTAGGCCCAATGGCTGCTCCCTGTAGTTCAATTACTGGGAAGAGGTAAAGAAAAGGTACATGGAAGAGTCTCCAGAGCAGGTGGACCAGACTCACCTGGCTCCAGAATGCAGAGAGTAGCGAATGAGTCAGCTCACTGCCCATCCCTCTTCATTTTCTTTCTTGTCCTTGTTTTTTTATCAAAAACAGATTTTTTGGCCTTGTTACTATGGGTTTCTATTAAGGACTGAAACAAACATATCAGTCGTCTAGAGGATTAGAAAAACAAATTCCATTTCTCCTACTGTACTCTCAGAACACTGAACACTTCTGTGATCTGCTCACCAGCAGTTTGTGGGGATTTCTCCCCAGCGGCAACCAGTTCTCTGGCCAATTCGTCAGTGGGATACTAGCTGGGTGTCTTCTACTCCAATTCAGTTTTGAAACTAACTATCTGGAAATAACATCAGATCCCACAGGTGGGGAGCTCAGTCATGAGATACTGCCCCCACTTCAGACACCAATTAGAAGTAATAAATTAGCTTGGTGCCCATAGCTTAGTAGTTAGGGCACCAGCCATATACACTGGGGCTGGAGAGTTCAAACCTGGCCCAGGCCTGTTAACAATGACAACTACAACAACAACAACAACAAAACAGCTGGACATCTATAGTCCCAGCTACCTGGGAGGCTAACGCAAGAGACTCACTTAAGCCCAAGAGTTGGAGGTTGCTGTGAGCTGTGATGCCTTGGGACTCTACTGAGGGCGACATAGTAAGACTCTGTCTCAATAAATAAATAAATAAATAAATAAATAAAGGAAGTAATAGATTGTCCCTATAATTCTGACAGTTGCCTCTAAATTGGAGACCCCACAACCCCCTGCCAGGGCTTTATAATTGGCTAGGATGGCTTACATATGTTTACCCATATATTATGAAGGAAATTACAAAGGATACAGATGAAAAGATGGAGAGGGCAAGGTATGGGGATGGGTGGAGCTTCTGTGCTTGCTCTGGGCACACTACCCACCCAGCATCCCACATGTGCAGTTCTCCAGGTGCTTTCCAAACCCAGTCTTTTTGGGGTTTTATGGAGGCTTCATTACATATGCATGATTGATAAGTCACTGGCCATTGGTGATCAACTTATCCTTTAGTCACTCTCCCCTCCTTAGAGGTTGGGGGAAGGCGTGTGACTGAACAGTCCCAACCCCCTAGTCAAGCTTTGCTCTTTCCTGTGACCAGCCCCCATCCTGAGACCATGGAGAAGCCTCCAGCTAATAGCTCATTAGCATATAGAGAGACACTTACCACTGTGGAGATACCAAGGCTTTTAAGAATTATGTCAGGAAACACGCACAGGACCAAAAACAGTAGAACTTCTGTAAGTTGACCACTCAAGAGATTGTAATAAACTGGTCAGCATACAGAGGAACTAGGCCTATTGTACTATTATGTACATGGGGGGCATGTCCAGTCTATGAAAATTAGGTCAACTTAAGGAGGTAGTCAACTATGGAGGTTCTACTATATATATTTCACAATATTGCAAGTAGCTTTACCATTGAGGTAAAACTCAGAGTTTGTTGTGGGCCTGGTCCACAATGATCTGTTAGGAAATGCAGAGGTAACATGATCTGACGTGAAGCATCCTGGAGAAACACCCTTCTCCACCGAGCCCAGATAATAGTCTCATACTGTTTGCAGCTGAGAGGTTTGCAAAGCAACCCAGTGGAATAATTCAAGGTAGAGTGGCAACTACATTGATCATTTTCCATTCTTCCTTGTTTTTAATGCAATCTACTACTAATGTCAATCAAATTGTAACTGCTTTTATAAGAGATGAATTATTGCCCATGATATGTCATAAAGTTCTGTGTCTCTCTTGTCCAAGTTTTCACTTCCCCTCATTCCTTCTCTACTCCCGGGATAGTTCACATGTTTATTTCTAAAAATAAACATTTTTGACTGAAGAGTTTTTCATACTGTTTTTAAGAAAGAATTTATAGTCCTTGTTTTTACAAGCAAGACTCAAGTTTAGATTCAAAATGATAAAGGAGGGCACTTTTTTGTTTTTAAATGGTTTCCTACTGGGTCTAGGCTTGAGACCAGATGTGACTAAGACTAGAAGGTTTTCATTTGCTGTGACTTTTATGCGTTCCTTTCAGCGGGTAGGTACAATTTCAATTGAAAGTAGGGGTATTATTATAAGGGAACAGGTCATACTTTCTCATTGAAAAATGATGCCACATTAAGTCAGATCAGATAGTTTTGTCATGGATGATTGATGGTTTTCTTCTCTTTTCATTCCAGCCACACCAGCTCTTCTTGGCAGAGAATCCCAGAGTCTGCAAAGAGTTAATCCAGCCCTAGGGACAAGTAAGAATTTCAGTCCTTTGGCTTCCTTCAGCAATATTTTCCATGCTCAATCAAGCTACTGTTCTTTCTATATGGGAGGGTGGTGGATATTGATAACTGGAAGAGTAACTGAATTGAAATTTCATAAGCAAGCAAAAGAACTCTATATTTTTTCAAGCTTTATTTTTTAACTTCCCTGTAAGGCTGTTTCTTTATATTTTGCTTAAGCTTAGCAATTAAGCAAGGCCAGATTAATGAAGGAGGAAAAAAATGAGGAATTTATTGTGAATCAATAATTATTCATTGAATTTAAGAAAATCTCCTTTTTATACAAATTCTAGTTTAAATTATTATCTTGAAATATTTATCTAGTGATTACATTGATAGATTAATCTTGTCTTATTAACCATATATAAGCCACCAAATTGCCTTAGGCATCAAAATTTTGCCTTTGTGGAAGCTCTGTCTTCTTCTTTTTTTTTTTAATTAAGTCATAAACACATAGATCATGTATACATCAATGCATTTATGGGATACAATGTGCTGATTTCATTACATGTAAGCATTCCTAATTCTATATGAAATCAGCACATTATACCCCATATATGGTTAATATATACCTCATCTTGTTTACTTAATTATTGTGTTAAGACATTTATACTCTATACTTAATAGATCCAACATGTACCCTTTTTTTTTTGCAGTTTTTGGCCGGGCTGGGTTTGAACCCGCCACCTTTGGCATATGGGGCTGGTGCCCTACTCCTTGAGCCAGAGGCACTGCCCCCAACATGTACCCTTTTTAAAACTACTCTACACATTCCCCTTTCCCTTGACTATCTCCTCTTCACCCACAAGGCTGAACACAAACATTAGCTCTATGGAGAAACTTGTCCAAATTCTCTAGGCCCAGACAATTTCTCCACCCTCTGTTCTTTCATGAAGCTTTGTCACCCCATGATAGCATTTACCTCCTTTTAGTATATGTCAGCACTGTGCACAGAAATTACTGGATTGTGTGGGCTGCACAAATGAATTAATTGTATTAAACTATAAAGCAAAGCCTATATTCTAAATTCTTCACATAACCTGAAAAATCCTGATCACGTAGGAGGTGCCTGTCTAATTAAATTTTAGGGGTTTTTTCCCTGGTGGAAGTACCACACGTACACTAGAGTCCACATTATGCAGTCAAAGAAGGGCAGACAGTGGACCTAGTACGTTTAAGCTGTTGCCGTTTTTGTTGGTAATTCTGGGGTCATGAAACCATAATTTGGGTTTTATGACTAAATTGCAGAGTAGATTTCTAATGTGAGATTTAAGCGTCATTTCCTCGGAGGTGACCATAAAGGAGAGTTGGTAGTGTTTCCACGTCATGCACTAGTCAGTTGTGCCAGACCACAAACCCTTTACAGCTCTCCTGTTTGGGAAACATCTGACATGTTGATCTGCTCCCTAATTATCACAAGGGTTGTAAAAGAGGTGGGGGTTTAGTTATGTTTAGGTTATCCCAGCCAGTGTGTTCCAAAGCCTTCCTTCACTCAACAATGTGACCTCTCCTGTTGTTACTTTCTGTAAGGAAATGAGAAGCAATCCATTGAGGGTGTGTTACTAATGGTGCGTGCTGCCTGTTGGAACCATCTTCACGAGCAAACATAATCCGTTACACTCAGCTTTCCCCAAAGTGGTCGAATGGTTTCTCCAAGCCATTTCCTTTGTCAGGCCACAGGGCCTGAGGAGCTGGCACATTGTGCCTTGTTGGAATGTGACCTCTAGGTATGGAAGAGGTGTTGAATGACTTCCCACCAGTCCTAGCAGTCTGGCATATGTTGATGCCCTGTCTTTGCGTAGGTAAGAAGACTAGCTAGTTATCATTCATATGTAGTAAATTACATAGACACTGACCTCCCCTACCCTTCAAGTTCTTATCAAAAGTCCCCTGCCCTCTGTCCCACGTCAGTGCCTGTGTCTGTGTCAGTGAGCGCATGCTTGGACACATGTCCACCTTTAGCATCACAAGTATCTCATCCAGATGTGACAGACCCAAGTGCTCATATCACCTCAGTGTGTCACTGTGTCAATGGGAAAGAACCCAAACCCTGTAAAATAATTTAAAGAGGTTTATTTCTGACTGACCTCATGCAACCCTGACCTGAAGAGCCATGCCCAGTAAGCCTTAAGCAAGGGGTCCTGCCCTAGACTGGTTACACTTTGGTTTTATATACTTCAAGAAGACAGGAATTACACATAAAATCATAAATAATACGTGGAAAGCGTGCATTGGTTTGACCAGAAAAGGCAGGAAATCTGGGGGTTGGGGGGTGGAGGGGTGGAGTGCTTACCGGTTATAAGTTGGTTTAAAAATTCTTCGATTTGCAATTGGTTAAAAAAATGAAACTTTGTCTAAAAGCTTGGAATGTTTTAATGTAAGAAAGTCTATTAATAAGAGCCAACTCACTGAGCATGTGTGAAGACTCAAGTATACTGTGTGTTTTAAGCTTTGTCTTACATGACCTTGGGCCTGTTAATGATTTTGTGTCTTACTGTTGCAAAGAATAACTCTGAAAGGGTTGAGACATAACTAGGTGTGTTTGAGGTCCCTTTTCCTCCCAGCCAGAAAGTCAGCTTTAAGGTTTTACTGGTGTCTCCTTGACCAAGAGGGTGTCTATTCAGTTGGTTGAGGGGCTTAAGATTTTATTTTAATTTACAATTGTCATTGTATCACATATACTCAACTCTGCTTAGTACCCAACATTTACCTCTGCACCTGGAGGGAGAAAGAGTGAGATATTGCCCTGACATCAGAAGGCTCACATTATAGACATAATTTGATGTGAAAAGCTAGTGTTCCTCAGGCTTGAGAACACACAATTATAATCTACCTATTTCCTATGTGTACTTTTCTAAATTCTGAGATTCTAGACAAAACCCCATAAAAGAAAAATATAAATTCTCAGATTCTAGACCAAACCCCAGAAAAGAAAATTAAAAATCCTCTCAGGACAGGTCCTAGCCACAACTGACTGAACATAAGTGAAATAAATGCCACGTCCCTCTCCCGGCCACTTTTCCTTTATAGTTGGCCTGTGGCAAAAAGCTTTTAGGAACTGTCTCCTTCCTCCCAGCCCCTGCCCCATCATTCCTTCCTTGGATCCACCTTCTTATGCCACTAATAATGTTCCTGTGCTCTGAGTAAGACTAAAGATCTGTGGTGCGCTCTCTACTACCTAAATGCTAAGCTGCAAGCCTTTCCCAAGACACTGAAAACCCACCCAGCTTGTAAGTTCAGACTACTTACCACTCCCCAGGCACACTGCGTTTTCCCTCCTCCGAGGGATTGCTCATGTCATCAAATCTTCCAGAACTATCCTCCTTCCACCCCGGCCTGCATTCTATAAATAAAAATAAATCCTGCCCTGCTCATACATTAAGGCTCAACCAAAACGCTGTTAGCTTTGACCTGAAGCAATTTCTCCCTTCTCCAGGCTTGTCTATGGAACAGAACATTATACTTCATAGCACTTGTATATTAGCCTGCTAGGCTGGCCACAACAAAGTAATACAGACTGGGTGTCTTAAACAACAATTTTGTCAGAGTTCTGGAGGCTAGAAGTCCAAAATCTGGGAATTGGCAATGTTGGTTTCGTGTGAAGCTTCTCTCTGCAATTCACAGATGGCCATAGATGGCTGTCTCCTCCCTTATCTTCATGTGGTCTTCCCCCTCTACCTGTCTGTGTCCTAATCCCCTCTCCTTGTGAGGACCACTAATCATCTTGCATTAAGAATTACCCTAATGACCCCATTTTACTTAATTACCTCTTTAAAGACCCTTTCTCCAAATATAGTAACCTTCTGAGGTACTGGGGATCAGGAATTCAACATATGAAATCAGGGGGAGATACAACTCAACCCATAGCCCCACTCTTAAGGAACATACTGCATGCTGTTTTGGAGTCTATTATTTGCCTATGTGTTTTACCTCTGTATCTGGATCATGAGCAGCTGTGTCTTATTCACAGTTGGATATAATTCACAGTACCTAAAATTATTCCTTTAGCATAGTAAGTAATAAGTTATATTGCAAATAAATTAATTAAGCAAAAATAATCCTTAATATCTCCCTGGCTACCCATCCTTCTCCATATTTAGCAATTTCCACCAGCACCCTTTGTTATCATGGGCCTCTTTTCTGGCTGGGGCCATTCTTAGAAGATCTCATTCCCCACCTGTGTTAATTATATATCATTACCATAAGTGTTCCACCGCTGAAAGGACTCAGAGGAACCAAATGATTTATACTCATGGGATGGCTTTATTATAGGCAAAGGTGTATGTGTTGACCATGGTCTCAGTATCTCTCAGTATCTCAAGTACAGGCTTTTTTGTCTTCCCACTTCTGGATCACACAGGATGCACTTTGTCTCCAGATCTGAAACTCCTACTCATGTGCCTGCCTAGTATCTCAGTACCATGAAGTCTAAAAAGTCTTCCCATGGTGGGGATCTCCTATAATGAGCTGGTCACATGGACACAATCTAGCTATGTGGCAAGCCTTAACCATCAGAGCCCAGGTCCCCTGGTTTTACCAAAGTAAATGCAAGTCATAAATCCAATTATATTAATGAACAATGTTGACAGGCTAATATCCTGTCCTGAGACTACTCACAGATCTGTGACTATAGAACATGATTTTTCTTTGTTAAATATCATTGGCCAAGCATCAGTAGCTGCGGAGAGAAGCATACAGTCAATCCAGACCAGTGAAAATCTGCCCAAACTATCACCACCTCAAGAATCACACCTTGGGCAGCACCTGTGGCTCAGAAGGGTAGGGCGCCGGTCCCATATGCTGGAGGTGGCAGGTTCAAACCCAGTCCCAGCCAAAAACTGCAAAAAAAAAAAAAAAAAATGAATTACACCTTGCTGTAATCTCTTTCTTCTCTCGTTTACCAAAAATTATCTGTCCAATTTTCTAAGCCCTCAGGACTTTGCTGGGCTGGCCCTAATCCATGTAAATGAATG